ATATATATATATATTATATTCTACTATACATACATGGTGTATGTATAATACAAATGTTGGTTTATATGCATCTCTGGTACTAAAAGTACAAAAAAATGTTCTTTTCTCTCATAAAGTTATTTAAAGTGTATTTTAAACAGGATCCAAAGCAAAGATGCACTTTGGTTACAGAAACTGCCTTAGGTTAGATATTTAAATAACACATAGAGGCTTATTATTATCTCCTACAACTGATATCTAATAATTGACAACATATTAGGAAATTCCAAAAGTTTATTCTGATTTTGAAGCTCTTTAGCTTCACTAGGCAAAAAAGAAACGGAGATCAGGAAAGTTAGTAATTGAGTAAAATTGTAGAAAATGCAAAATATCAGAATCAGAATCAGAAAATACGCCACTAATAACTTAATAATCCCAAAGGGAAATTACTTTTGTTACATGCTTCAAATAATTAGCATTTATTCATACAATTTATCAATTTAAAATTATAAAAATAATGATGAATGAATAATTTATCACATAATTTCCCTACATAATTCAACATTTATTTCTACATTAATAAATGCTGTTAGGAATATACATTAAAGACATCTTTAACCTTGAAACTTATCTCTCAAAAACAGATGTTTCAGTCACATTTCTATCACTGATTAGTTATTGCACAGACTGGTTTAGCAGTTCGTTGGAAAAAGCAACAAAGTTACTGACGTCTAAGTCATTTTCTACATTTTAAACACTAAAAGTGAAAAACACAACCACATTTCTAATGCTGTTTTTGTGTTTTTTTGCACAGTGAGTCGACTTTCCAGCACTTACGTCAGTCTGATTATAAACAAAGGTAATGCTTGTTTAAAACATGTTTTTACTTAATTCATTTATATTGTCTGAGCAATAAACAACCAATAAAGTTGTTAAAATCCTAGGTTTGAAAATGATATCTTATTCCTTAGACGCCTAATGTCAGTAATTAGCTTCATATTTAAATTTATATTAATTAGAGCTGTAATGTTCAAATTATTAATGATTTAATTTGGCATCTGACAGAAAAAAAAATGACAAAAACATGCAAACCTGGCATTCAATTCAGGTATTATTGGGTTAAATCATTTAAATAACAACAAGATTGTTATTTATTTAACCAATAGCTTTTTTAGGCTTTGAGTTTAACGCCTGTTGGTTTTTTTGTCACAATATTTAGGCAGAGAATAACTGACTAATACCAGAAACTAAAAATCATTATAAGCCTTAGAAATCAGAAAACCAGTCTGAAAACAATCATGAGCTTTTGAAAGACTGTTTTGGTTTTAGGGGAGTTGGGTTATGCGACATGCTTATGAGCCGTTGGAGGTACCAGATCCGCTCGGTGCCCCGCCCCTTCTTATGACGTCAACATATGGCAACGCCACTCGGACAAACTGTATTGCACCCATTTCTTAAGGATCTTATTTTTTTTTTGGAGTTTCAACTTATTAGTACCCATATTTACTATTATTTTACATTTCATTGGCGATCTAAAGTAGCCAAAAGTAGAAAACAATCAATGTCAGTCCTGAAGGAAAGCACTGCATTCTCAGACAGACTGAGCTCTGCCATTTAACAATGTGAAACAAAAACTTTATTTTTATTCTTTTTATCAAAATCTGAGGGCAGAGGAGGACAAATGGAACATCTTAAAAATGACTTTCGTAGAGATTTTAGACGTAGAAAACAACAGTTATTCTACTTGTTGATAAAAATTTAAAAGTAGTGTAGCTTAATAATGGCTAACTGAGCGAGCTAAGAGAGGCTAACCTGTTAGCTACTGAGCACTGCTAGCCACAGCGTTACCTATATCACGGTTTTGCAGTTACTTTGTTCACCAGTTTTGTTATCGATGAGATAAAACTTCATCGGTCATAGAACACGCTAACGACGCTGCGTGATGTTATTATCGTTGTCCGGGCAACCACTATGTTTTACATCATGTGTTAACGTGCAGCCAATGTAGCGTAACTTAACTGGCATGCGCAACCTGAGCAGATCTGGTACCTACACTGTCAGTGTCTTATCTGCAGACCCACCTGAGATGACTCCGCTGGTCAGGCCAGGGATGCCTTGAACGAGTGTCAGATTGTTGTTTTCAAAGTACTCGTTGCAGGTGGCGTTGAGCTCAGGTCCTTCACAGAAGATACTCCACAGCTTGGTGGTGACCGTCAGGTTATCTATGATCTCCGTCTTCACACACTTGTCGAAGTCGTGGTTTTTTAGTGTCCTGTTCCCCAACATGCAGACTCTGCGAGCACAAAGAGAGAAGTTGCCCTTAATGAAGCAGATCGGCAGATTAAAACATGTGGAGGAGACTCTTAAAAAAAAAGGAAATGGGGCTCACGGAAAATCTGGCGGCTCAAAAATGGATTTTATGACTCCAGCGTAGATGGCGAGGATAGAGAGAATGACACAAGCCAGGAAGACCAGTGCCAGTTTGTTGACGTATTTGACTCCAACAAAGACAACTATAGACATGAGTATAAGGCAACATGTGCCATAGACACGCATGTTGTTGAGCAGGGCATCAACTTCATCCTCCTTTTGCTCTGCTATGAAGATGGCTGCTTGAGGCACAATGTAGGTCTGAGAAAAGGACAAAAAAGAAAACAAAGACTTGAGAAAAGAGCAGACGACAGCCTGGTTCCTCTTTGGTTAGATTTATATGCATACTCAGATGAAAACAATGGAAAACCGCACAGTTGGCAGAATCCTAAATGAGGAACCAGTGCAACAGACCGAATACAGGAACAAACAGGCTCCTATTTCTTACCAGCAGAATCTCAATGGTACCCAAGATGTACATGGAGCCTGCGAAGGTTGTTCCCAGGTAGAAACAGAGACCGACTGCTCCTCCAAACTCTGGACCCAGAGATCTGGAGATCATGTAGTAGGAGCCTCCAGCTGGAGAACAACAACAACAACAGTCAGAGGAAAGACAAAGAAAGCTGTTTGAAAGCAGACAGTATTCTAGACGACATGTTGGTTTATGTTTGTGGCTCAGTTAGTTTGTTAGAAAGCAGATTTTTAGCAGAGAACAGGAAGGCTGAACAGAGAACAAAGGCTTTAAGATCCGTAATGGAACAAAAATGGTTTGGGAACTCTGGGAACTAGGGCACCTAATCATCTAATTGATTATTGAAATAATCGT